ATTAATAAACTACCTAAAACACTTGCAATTTTAAAAATCTTAAAAGAAAAAGAAACTTGGCACACAATAGCATCAAAATAGGAGCCAAAATACCATGCCGTTAAAAAAAGAAGTTTAGAATTTTAAAATATTTGATTATTTTTGTGTTTTTATGACAACGGTTGTAAATTAAATGCTTATAGATGTTACAATTTTGCATATAAGTTTGTTAAAAATGTTATGATTGCTAATATGTAATAAGATTTCAATTTAACAATTCAACAAAAATTTAAATTATTTAAAAAAATACTCTCACCCCAAAAACCTCCTCTGCCTCCATTGAATTCAAAATATAAACAGTAGCCAGCGCGGCCACGAATAGCATACTAAAAACTGCGTTGATCATCTGTGTCTCTAGAAACTTTCTTCTTAAAAGTTTGTTGGTTGCATGAAACAATTTAACGCTTGCAATAACTTCAACCGCACTCAGAAGCATGCACACAAACCCCGTCGCACCGATACTAGCTAGATCATCTCCGGTGTAGTAGCCGTCGAACATTCTTAGGTAGGCAGAGGTGCTTGTGAGACAGAAGTAAACTATGTAGGTTAATAGAATTAGGCCGGAGAAAGTTTCTAAAGCATGCCAGAAACAGAGGTAAGCCCAGCGAGTGAAGATGATTTCATCGCTGTTCATTGAAGGCTGAAAAGCTCTTATTAACGACATGAGCCATTTCTTCCGTTCCGACTCGATTCCTTTGCCATCATTGAGCACTAGATCCGATCTGGCAACTGTTATCAAGCGATTTTGCGGGTCTCTGGCGAATTTGTAAACTGAGGTGGCAAGGTCTTTTCTTGCGTCGCCAGTTAGTCGGTTGTTGTCTACGATTCTTTTTCGATCCGGCTCACTTTCCGCTTTACTTGTAGGCTCGGTCGGTTCATTGTCACTCTCTGAAGACATTTTTTTGGTAAATGTTCAGATTGGCTAAAACCACCTTTTATAATAGTTAATTACATTATTTATTCTATAAAGCGTTTTATTTTTAAATTCTCAAGCCGGGTTTTCCTAAAATTTACTTTCCTAAAGTTGAAAAATAGTTGTTTATGCTTAACGTCAGAGAGATAGCTTGTGTTTAATTTTTATTTTACTTTTACTAAAAATATTTAAGACCATGTTGATATAAAAATTATTTTGTTCGCTAGTTTTATACGCTGTCAAAATCCACCTAGCGGTTATTTTGTAATTATATTTGTTGGCTTCCAGATTGAAAAAAGTTTAAATAACGAAAGGATTATCATAATTTTAATAGTTTTATATATTCTACTAGCTATATCATTTAAATGATATGATTTCAATTTTTTTCATACATCCTAAAAATTCACCACAACTTTTGTAATTATGGGAATATAATAGAGAGAAACCACGTTGATATGCGATTTATGGTCGAGGAGTTTCGAGGTTTTCATCAAAAAATTTGAATGGTTGTCATCAATGAGTTTTAAGGATTGTTAAATATGTAGATTTCTATCACCTGTGTTGTTCTATTGTTCTTATCCATAATTTTACTTCTTGGTAATAATAATTGTTCGTTACGCAAGTTGAGATAAGAAAGAGGACATGAATTTTTTGAAATTTCGCTACTTGAATACTAATTATAAATTGATTTATTAAAATGAACAAAAATGAATTAGCAAAAAATAGCAAAATCTGCCTAATACAGAGTAGAATGGGTATTAACAAGTGTTTCTATCTGATGAATTGCATGCTAATGTTCAGTTTTTTTAAAGCATTTCTAAGGCTCTTTTTTTACATTTTTTTGTAATATTTTCAAATTTATATTAGAAGAAAAACAAACAGATAAAAAGAATTCATTGTTCAAAATTATATTATTAAAACGAATTTAATGACATGATCCCGAAAACATGTCTCGAACTTAAAGTTTTTAAAATAACGACAATTTTAATATGTAATAATAATAATAAACGAAATGTGATAATAATTATAAAGTTATAATAATAATAATGTTAATAATTATATAATATTATGATAATAATAATTAATAATTAAATATAATTATGATAATAATTATGAGGTAACGGTAAAAATAATTATATTATGGATAATTTAGGTTCTAAATTTGAAAAAAAAGTTTGCTGGCCACATGAGCTCCTTGAAAATTTCACACTTATTACCGATGACATTCAAGTAATTTCACGTTTTCCCGCCATTTTTTTAAATTTTTGCCGCCATAATTTTCCCGCCAGTTTTTCTTTCATTTTTCTTCTTTTGGTTTTTCTTTCTCCTTCTCTTCTATGTTTTTTTCGACAATGTCTGATTGGATTTAAAAAGAATTCGTTTATGAATGATACTAAGCATCTGCGTTATATCTCGTTATATCTGACGTTTCGATTCATTTCGACACACAGACGCACACACAGATTTACACACAGACAGACACACATACACACACGCACACACAGATACACACAAACAGACACACAGACACGCACCTTTGAGTTTTTCCATCCTCTTCTTTCTCTTCGCATCTCTCTTCAGTCTCCTCTTCTTTTCCTCATCATCTTCATCCGGGATGACCACGGTACTGCTGTACTCTCCCATCACTCCCATCAGGGAACCTTCCAGAAGTTTTTCCTCAGCTGCTACATCGTCCATCTTCCGGATTTGTGCCTCCATTGTGACCTGGTGTTTTGGTAATTTTAAGAATATTTTTCATTTGGGTTAGTTTTTTTTAAGTTTTTGTTTGCGTTTCGCTATGAAGCTCAGAGCTGCTCACAGACACGTTATTTCCTAATTATAGTTCAACTTTTGGGCTACAAAGGTTGCAATAATATCACTCTACACGAGTCACATCCATGCCACACATCCATTCCACACCTCACACATACACATCACACATCCTCTTTACATCTCACACATACACCTCACACACATACACATGGTGTATTAAAGATTTTAAGTTTCGGTCGGACAGAATTCTATTTCCTTTTTTTATTCCATATTTTCAAAAAAAAATGTTAAAAAAAATTTCAAACCTTTTCAGAATCATAAATTTAATCATTTCCAAACTTGCCTGTTTGAAGACAGTGATGAAGCTGCGCATGGCAACATGACACAGGAACATGGCCAGGGCTTGAACCACCATCACGCCGAGTAGCACCATCCACAAAAACGCGTACGACTCGACGATTGTGTCTCTCATCACGTTATAGCAGTTGTCTTTGTTTATTGTCAGTGCACTGTCTTCCTAATGGTGGTGATGTTGATTTTTTTTTTAATCAAGTTTATTTCATGAAAACACATGAATAAGGATTCCAAAAGAGACCAAAACTCCAAATAACAAGGAACCCCACAGAAAATAATAAAACACATTAATGTTGTCAAACATCAGTATCAATTTTTAAAAACTAATTAGTATTGTTACAAAATTTTAGAATTAAAAAACATATGCATAAAATTAAACCTGTTGCAACGAGGAAGAAAAAATTTTATCACAAAGAGAAAGAAATTCAAATAATGATGATGATGATGATGCATTTATGATAATGATGATGATGATGCATTTATGATAATGATGATGCTACTGATGATGATGATGTAATTATTGACGACGACGATGCTACAAATAATAATTTGATCACAAAATCAGTCAGAAAAACTTAGCAAACTAAATTTTTAAAATTTTTGCCAGAAAATCCAAACCCACCCCGATATGCACACAGCCCTTCACTTCAGGCTTGCAGCAACTTCTGGGCACCCCAATGACGTCATTTTCGTAATATTCACTAATGTTCGCCCAGAATGGCGATTTCAACCAGTTTCTGTAACTGTGTATACCACAGCACTGATACCTAATTTGGTAGCCATCGAATGAGTACCTAAAGCTACTGGATTCCCAGTATAAATTTAGGAACACGGCGCTGTTCTGTGACGGAGAGAAAAAATTTGTTTTTGATAATCCTAATTGCAATTAACACGAGTTAAGAAGAAGTGAGAACAAGAAGACGTTCGTAATATATAACAATTTGATTAAAGCAAAATATATATTAGTGTAAATATTAATAATATAATGAAATACAATCCAGAACGACTATCCAGAATAATGTTATTATTATTATTTATTTATTTATAATTATTTATTATTATTATATAATTTTTATTATATTTCATTATAAAGTTATGTTTGACAGAGGCAGACAAGCAAATTTTTTTTTCTGAACTAACCGCTTTCAATCGAGATGATCTGCCGTAAGATATAACGCAGAGAATGAACTGAACGAACTGAAGTGCTGATTCGATTATTATTAATAATATTATTATCATTCATTATTATTATTATTTATTATTATTTTATATTATTAAATAAATTATGAAGGAATGAATGAATTCTACCTACCGACCTAGTGTAGCACATTGCAAGAAGAAGTAGGATCTCGCCACATAATAACATCGCGGATTTCTCGAGAATGTGAATTTTATCGAATGAAAATTTTTAAAATGCGTCTACTTGACGACGAAATTGATGAAAAGTTTGAATTAAATTTAAAAAATAATGATGTACTCAAGTTTAAATAAAACTCATTGTAGTTTTATTCAAGTTTTTCTGTCAATATATTCAAAACTTTAAAATTCTTAATGAGAAATTTGGCCCAAATGAATAGATGGAGTATTCTAAAAAAACATGAAAGATTTCAAAACACGTTAACGAACTCATTACAGTTATAAATATTAGACAGCTAGTCAAAACATTTTAACAATTTCTATTTAAATTTCTATCAAGTCCTAAAACCAAAAAATTCATAACAAAAACACCTACTTGCCAGATTGTTCTTTCATCAGACCCAAACACAAAGCCAGAACAAGCCCAATGGCGTTAACAACAAACAAAATGACCCCAAACGCCATATCTATTCTTTCCCTCCGCTCGCCATATGTACTCAGAACTTTCAAAACATCAGCGTCACTATTGACAATGAAATAGGTAAAGATAGACAAAGACATCGGGATAAGTAGGAGATGAAGCATAGCTATTGTAATAGCTCTCATGAATAGATCGCTATTTTTACGGTTTTCGCTGCAGAAAATTCGGGGACAGTTTTTCGGATGAATTGGCTCGTCTGGCGGGGTTGGAAGAATGACTTTTTTGTCCTTATCAAGTTGGTAGGTTTTGCGCTTTTCTTTTACTGGTTTTTCATCTTTTATGTGCTGCTTGGCAGCGTCTTCAGCTTCGACGTTTGCCTCAACGATACTGCTGAAGTTGATGTTGCTAGTGGGAGCTGTTGCTCTGACAGCGCCGTAGATATTCGAGCTTTTGGTTCTGTCTTTTGGCTTTAAATAACTTTTTTGGCTGACGTTTTTGTGGGTTTTAGGAGTTTTTGGTGAATTAAGTTTCATTTTTTTAAGATTTAAGATGAGTAGGAGTGGGAGTTAAATGGGTTATTTTGATTTGTATTTTAACAAATCTTTCAACTTTATATAAAAATTTATTTTTGGACCGGTTTATACAACTTTTAATTTCTTTTAGACATTTGAAACCTTTCTCAACCTTATTTATTAAATACACCTTTATTGAGATATATATATATATTTTTTGGAAAATTACCTCAAATAATTTTATGACAACATTTTTACAGAATATTTAAAACAAATATGAGCAAAGCATAATCTTAATCTTGATGTATAGTAATATTTTGAAAGTAATTTGTTTATATTTACAACATTTGTTTACATGTGACGCCTACGAAATTAAAACAAAAACGAAGCAAACATTTATTTTTCTGAACATTTAACTGGAGCACCATTTTATCCTGATTTTATGTCATTTTTCACAATGCGATGGCGTAATGGTTAACGGGGCTTGCACTGATGATGCAGTGACCGAATTCGAACGCAAAATCTCCACTTAGCTCATACACTAGCTTTGACATGCCGATTCATTTTTATATACAATGTGTTTCTTCTTAGTACTTTTAAGAAATACTTACAAAATTTTTTTTATAATAATAAAATAATAATAATATATATACTGAATCAAAAATAGATTGAAAGTTTAAAGTTTCAACTTTTCTCGGAGAATGTCGGCCATGGCTTATGCATCTTCATCATCATCCTCTCCCTTCTCCTCATCAACATCTCTCCATATTTCTCACCATCAACGTCATCATCATCGTAACATCCGTACTTCCTGCAATCAACACCATCATCATCTTTACTATCCTTTTTCCAAACTGCCTCATCGTTATCATCACCGAAACAAGCATCACTATCACAACTCTCGATGCCATAAAAACTTATCTGATTCAAATATTTACCGGTATTATCGATCGAGCCAATTCTAAAGTACCGCCTGTCGTTCGAGTACTTAAAAACCGGTACCGGCCCGATTCTACAACTATTCGTCGAGACGTTATTCGTATCAACACTACCAACAGCTGGACTGCGATTCGAGTTACTCTTCCCTTTCATCATTCTCTCCATCTCCCTCAACTCAGATGCGGTGGCGTATTTTGACTGGTCTTCACCAGCTCCCGGTTCATTTTCATCAGACATGACTCCCCTATAGAACTCCCTCTCCTCAAACGACCTCGGATCCCGCGCTCCCACAAAAACCGACAAAAACGCCAGCGTGGATAAGCCCGCCAGGAGTAAGCTGCAATTAAAAGCGAAACGAAATCTTTCCGAGATAGCATAGGACATGGCGGACATGCAGCCTTTTTTGTGGGCGTTGTTGCGTAGGGTCTGCCATTTCTGTCTCGAATTGATGGTTAGTTTCGATTTGATGGTTAGTCTCGATTTGACGGTTAGTTTCGATTTGATGGTTAGTTTCGATTTGATGGTTAGTCTCGATTTGATGGTTAGTTATAATTATGTAATTATATAAGTAGTAGTAATAGTAGTAGGAGTATTAGTAGTAGTAGTAGTAGTAGTAGTAGTAGTAGTAGTAGTAGTAGTAGTAGTAGTAGTGGTGGTAGTAGTAATAGTAGTAGTATTAGTAGTAATTCTGACAGCCTTAATCCAATATATACACATATATATATATATTACATATATAATTACACACACACACACACATATATATATATATATATAATTAATTATAATTGATTTAATTATAGTTAATTATATGTAAGAGCACCTCTGAGTTTGTTTTACAATCTGGCTGTTCACAGCACGAGTCTGGTATGTCCTTTATTTGTTGGCTCAGGGGCCGATCCACTATTGTCACGCCTTTTCAGGGTCGAAAGGTCAAAATTTAAAATATTAATAATTTGTGTATTATTTATTTATCTATTTTTATTTATTATTGTTTATAAGATAATGAAATGAATCAATTAATTTAAAGTAAATTGAATGAATTTCTCTGTGAAAAAAAGAGAATGAAACTTAGTTGATTATTTTATTTTCGCGTTTTTACATTTTTTTCAACAAACAAGCACTTACAGTAGTTAAAATAACCGCTGCAAAAACAACGCCATAACCATTGCACTTTGTATTGTCTCAAATTTTCAATTAATTTATTCAATATTTTCACTTATTCATTCAAAAACCTAACCAAACAACCAGCCAGCCATTAAACCAACCAACCAACCAACCAACCAACCAGCCAGCCAGCCAGCCAGCCAACCAACCAACCAACCAACCAGCCAACCAACCAACCAACCAACCAACCAATCAACCAATCAGCCAGCCAGCCAGCTAGCTAGCCAGCCAGCCAGCCAGCTACGAACCTAGATAGTCATCGACGCTTTTTATTCCACAGCATTTTAAACTTCGCTGTACCACGTCCAAGTTTACTCTCATTACGTCGTCTCTATAATTGTGAATTGTAAATTTTTTCACTTTCTCCGTATCCTAAAGTTAGTTTGAAAGTGACAGCGTTTGAGTTAAAAAAATGCGCTATATGAATGGATTTAATTGGATGAATAGTTTGCTGTAGCTGGCTGGTTGGTTGAGCTAATTGGTTGGTTAGCTGGTTGGTTAGTTGGTTGGGTTGGGATGACTGATTGGTTGGTTGGTTAGTTGAGTAAATTAATAAATATTAAATAAATTAATGGGCAATTTGAGACAGCACAATATTCCAAAGCAATTTAAGATACAAAAAACAACAGTCCAATGCCACAAACACAACAACAAACCCAAAACTCTCCCCACAAAACCACCAACTCACCCGCGCAAAAAATCACTCACCTTAATCATCACTTGCAACAAATGTTCTCTATTCCCATAAAAAACAATCACCAATGTCGCCATTGCTAAAATCTGATACATGGCCCAGACACAATAAACTCTGACCATAATTTTAATATACACCCAAATGCTTATGCTGGAGCTAAGTAGTGAGACAAAAAGCCCAAAAAAGCAGCTGGTGATTGAGATGTTCATAGTGTGGCAAAAGTACCGCCAGATTTCTACATTATACACATCGTGGTACCTAAGTATTCGCTCCATTCTGTGTTCTCTGTACTTTCCGTATTTAAATTTGAGGTAGAAACAGATGGCTATAATGCCGATGTGACTGGCTACCGAGTTCAACCAGGCTAGTTTGAATCTTGAAAGAAATGGTGAAAAGTTAATCGGTGAATTGGTGAATTAACCTGGGTAAATTTGGTGATAAGTAATTGGCGAATTAATTTGTCTGAAATTGGATGCGAAGTGTTAAGTGGTAAATTAATGAATTAAATTAATGAAAGTTTAATAGGCTCGATGGCGGATCTAGACAACTATAGCGGGCGGGGAGGGTTAGGGTTAGGGTTAGGGTAAATTTTGAAAGTTTTTCAAACGTTAACTGGGGCGGGAAACTTTTGGAAATTGTTTCAATGTGTCTAAATGTTGAGCGAAAGGGACAGCATCATGACACTGAATATGCTAATTAGTTAATTAATCTTTGTGTGACTAGTGAAGATTTAAATAGTAAACTATTAAATTTAGACTAAGTAATGAGTCAATTGGTGAATTAGTAATTAATTAATGAGTTAATTAGTGAATTAATAATTAATTAGGACGTGCAGTATACGGCCGTATTTTTAAATTGATTCATTTGGCCAATATTAAAACATTATCCTCTATTTATATCGACATGCTGTAACTTTAGAAGCCCCTGGTCTTGTCATGGCAGTGTGTAAATTGTTGGAGCATGCGTGTATGCATGCCTTCTGCTTGCATGTAGTTGATGTTATTGAGAATTAATCATGGAAACAAACATGTAATTACATAAATTTGTTTACAGAACAACTTTCCTTCTCCTTCTTTATCATCATCCACTCCTCGTCATCCTCATCTTCATTTTCCATTTTAGCTTGTTTTTCCGGAGTTTTATCTGCTTCCAATTCAAGATCCATCAAAGATGCACTTGTAGAAGATGATGAAACATCTGATGGTGGTGGCAATGGGGGGTAAAATGGAGGCGGAGGAAAATGGGGCAGACGAGTATTCATGAACATTGGTGGCGGAACTACGTGGGGGTGGATAAACCTTGGGTGAGGGGGCATTGGTGGACGAAGGGCTGAGTTTGGTTCTCTTGGTAGTATTTCTGTTTCTGCAGATGTTGGTGGCGATGACGACGATGATGATGACGTGGAGGCGGCGTCAGATGCTGCTGCTGCTGATGATTCGGTTGCTGCGTTTTCGGAAAAGTTTTTATCTTTTTGTTGCTTATCGCTGTGAACGTTGGAGTTATTTTGATCTGTTAAGCCATCCGTCGGACATTTCTGGTAAACATTTAGACCTTTTTTGCCATTTTTAACCTCAAATAATTTTTTGCTCGTAAATTTATTTTTATAAACTGTTGGCTGACGTTCGCAAGATAAAGAAGATGTTAGCGTTGGTTCGTAGCAGTATGTGGTTGTCTTCATGTTCTGTACACCATCGAAACTGGCCTTGGATTGGTGAGGAATGTGTGAGGCTATTTTTAGTTGATGGGGAACTTTATCCTCTACTGGCATGATTAAATTGGTTGTTGAGATGGTCTAATGGTTAGAGTACTTTGTCTTGCTGTTACAGTTACTGAGTTCGAATGGTCACCATGTTAAGAGTAGAATGTGTGTGTGTGTGTGTGTGCGTGCTTGTGTGGTGTGCGTGTGTGTTTTGTATTGGATGTTAAAGCAGTTTATAACTTTAAATCTCATGAACTCATTTTTCTGTTTCAAAAATTTCGTGATTTATATTGTACAGAAATTGTTTTTAGAGAATTTAAGAAAAAATGAGTGAAATATTTCAATTTTGTAAAGAAATAAAATCTAATAAATGAAAAATAGAACAAAATCCAGAAAACAAAACACCATTGTTTTTGTTATTGCTATATTACATTTTTACCAGCTAAAAATTAACATAGCGCTTATAAACAACCTTATTTTGGAATGAAATTAAAGGTAGTTTTATTCACGTTCTTATTGTTCATTTATTTATTATAATCATAAATAAATTTTTACAAATAATAATGAATTGTTTAGTGAATTTAAGAATTGATGGGAAAAATTTGTATAGTTAGTTACTGTTTAATACAACAGTGAATATGATAACCGTGTTAAAACACCCATTGTTAGAATGGTTTAAAGAGTAAATTCTACGAGTGACAAGATGAGTTATTAACCCTACTTTAAAGAACTTGAATAGAACTTCAAATTGGTAGAGTATAATTATTTCAACAATTTTTCGTGAAGATAATTTTTTTTTCTAAAAAAAGTAAGCGCTACAGCATGATTTGTTTGAATGACGTTGGTAAATAAATTTTGTTTTTTTCGAATTTGTTTTTAACTACATTAAAAAATAAAATTTAGATCAAGAGTTGCTTAACTCACGCCAATAATAATAAAACCTTCAAAGTTCTATCGTAACAATCCATTTAACAATTTGGAATTTTATTCTGGCTTATTTTCCGTTCTTAATTTTCTCAATAATTTATTTTGGACTAATCTTTTAAGATTTACTCTAAAATGTAATGAATATATATGAAACATGATGGTCAAAAAATGGAATCGTTTGAGAAACAATGGAATCGTTTGAGTTATAGCAAATCGCCGACTACCAAAACTACAAATTCGTTTTAGCACATGCGGTTAACCCAATCAAACAAACATTTAATTCGCTCGTTTGCTCTCTTTTGAAAATTTCCTCTACTGAGGTTCTCAAAATTAGATTCTGATTGATGAAAAATGGCCGTAGCTGCAAAAGGCAAAAAATCGAAGTCATCAAGAAGAGTGACCAAGGCGAATCCGGCCAGTGCAATCCAAGCGAAGAGTGGCAGTGATGCCGCCGAAGGGGATTCATCAGACTCGGAAGAGACGAGTCCCGAAGATCAAGCAGCCGGGCAAGGCAAGGATAAAGCTAAAGATGCAAAAAATAAGGACGCTAAAGATAAGCTGTTAAAGAAATCAGAATCAAAAGACGATGGAAAACTGGGTTTAAAATCTCAAAATGGTGACTACGTTAAAGCTAGACTCAAGATCACCCCAGAACAGTTAAAAAAGCTGAATGAGATTGAGAGAGATAAAAAAATTAAGAACGTTCGCTATCCAACCAGTAACTTGCGGTGGTTTTGTTTATTTTTTCTGCGGCTTTTGATGTGCTTAGCGGACATAGCAATGATTATTGTCCTTTTCTCGCTTCCGGGATTTGGAGAAAAGTTTCTACACGTCCTACCAGCTTACGGTAACAGCCAAATGTGCGTTCTTGTAGCTATTTTTTCAGTTTCCGCTGCCACAAACCTGAAAGGAGCTTTTGTGGTTTATTATTTTAAAACTTTTGTGGTCTGGGCACAGAAGTGCATCGTCATCAAATGCCACGTCCTCTGGCTCGCGTACATGCTCTTTATGCACGTCATGGGGTTCGTTGTCTATTCTGTGGCCATTCTGAACCTGGCAAATGTTTTTGTGGTGAGTTGAAGTTTTAATTGTGGAAAAATGCTGCATTTTATAATTTGATGAGTTTATTATTTTATTAATAAGTAAAAATTATCTAGAAATAAATTGTTCAAGTTTTATGGAACTCGTTAGAAAAAGATCAAGTAATTAAAGCAGAAAAACATTTTTATTACCTGATTTCAAAAACAAAATGTTTCAATAGTATCAACATTAAAACGACCGACCAAATCAATGAAGCACTCACTGCAACCCAACCTTTTCAACTTCGCCACCGACAGCCCAAAGACTTGCGCATGATCCTGCACAGCTACAACAGCAGCGAAGACATCCACTACTTCGTCGACCACCTCCAAAGTGGCTACAGCTGCTGCGGGATTCACGGGCCAGCGGATTGGCGCATGAAAGGCGACACCAAAGCCACCATCAGCCTACCACAAAGCTGCTGCAGCGCTCCCAAGTGCCGCTATGGAATTCTGGATGTGGGTTTTTTACTTACATTTGGACATGATTGTCTACACTTTGTGGAGATGTTGGAAATTTGGTTGATGTTCAATTTTTAGAGTGAGGATTGTTTTTGCCTTACTAACTGAGAGTTCTGTGATGATGTTAATTTTGAAAAATTATTCAAATTAATTAAAAAAGTTAAATTGAAATTTAAAATTGATGGCGACTAAATTATTATACATAAATAATTTTTTATTATACTTAATTCATATTTTAAAAAATTTAGCACGCGGAGAACAAAACACTGCATGGAAAGGGATGCTACATAGCGGTAATGGAAGGGATCGAATACGAGTTAAAAATAAAAGCCTGTTTATTCGGCATCATAGCCATCCTACAAATATCGCTACTTTTCTTAACTGTCTTCTCGTTACCGAACTTCAAAATGCTGAAAAAGTTTTTCTTCCTCCATAATCTTTTCAGCAATGACGACCCTACCATAGATTTCAGAGCCCTGCCAAGAGCAAAAGAAATCGAAACAGCACCCTCTTCTGACATGAATCTCCGCCACGGAGACGAGAACAACGCAAATAATTATGTAGATGCCGGAACTGAGATTACCGGTGACACTATTCAGTCGAACTTTCACTGTAACATCACCGTGAATGACGACCGTTCGACGGAAAGTGAGCGGACGAGGTGCGACGAAAGGACAAACCTGATTGGACGCATTTGCAAAGAGAAATACAAATCAAACAACGCTATTGTAGATGACGAAGACGACGACGACGACGATGATGGTGATGATGAGGATAAGATGGAACTGACGGATGAAGACTACAAACTGTTTGAAAACTATATGATTGAAGAGTACTCCAAGAAAAAATCGTTAATCAACTCATGGCTAAGCGACAACAAATATTACCTGACCTACAACTCCAACGACAACTGCAACAAGACTAGTACAGTTAAGAATAATGCCCAAGATCTACATTCTACGAAAAGTTCACCTAGTGACGAGAAATTAAATGATCTAAGATCAGAACACGCCGATGTAATCAGAGAAAGGCCAGTAAGAAATAGAAGAAATTGACATTTTCTATCAAAAATAATAAAATTAGAAAAAATTATTTGACAAATTTTAATTTTTACTATTAAAAATTATAGTTATAAATAATAATCGTAGGTTGAAAATTGGATCAGATAAAAAATGTTGACATGCAATTTATTTGTTGTAACAATTTTCTGATTTTTAAAGTTTTTTTCTCTAAGTGTAATTTGTAATTTCTGCGAATAACAAGCCTAACGTTCAGCAATCGTATAACTTGATTTTAAAAATTATGAAAAGAGATGAAAAAATAATATAATAAAATTGTGCGCTATACCGAATTAAAAGCTCAAAAACATTTCTGACGTTCAAATAGTGTTCTTATCTCTGTAAACATATATTTTAAATGTTTGAAAATTTTGAATATTAGTTGTACACAAACGAATAACATATTTTAATGCAAGTTGGTTTATTTTTTTTAGAAATTGTATTAAGACAATTAAAAATGTTTCGTTTTCTCGTTTAGTCCAAAAATAGTTTGAAAAATAATTTTTAAAATAGTCAAAAAATAATTTATAATCGTAAAACTGGAAAATGAGTCTGTCCGAAAGTGGCAGTGACGTCAGCGATGCCCCACTCATCAAGCCAAAAGTGGAAAAACGTTCCGGAGTTGTTGCCGACCTGTCGAAACATAACTTGGTGGAAGCCTCACCCAATCTAACTCCATTCCTTGCCACGAAGACGACCACGCGAGCTAGCATTCTTAAAAATAAAGATGAAAAACCACTTCTGTCTGCTGAAAAACCTTCCGCTAGAATACATTCTAAAGATGTTTCAGACATACCGAAACATGATATACTGGAAACAACGCATAAACCGACTCCAAGAAAAAATGATAGAAAACTATTTTTCCCTGCTGAAAAACTTCCCAGAAAAAAACGTTCCAAATATATTGAACAAACATCGAAACATGATTTGCTGACAACCCCGCACGAACAAGCTCCAAACGCCAGAAATGAGAAAAGTTCGCAAGGTGACATGCCAAAAACAAAAGATGACAACCTGCTTTTAAAACCTGAACTGCTGCCAACTCCGCTTAAACCAACTCCAATAAAAACCGATAAAAATGCTGACGCTAATATTTTAAGAAAAAAAGATGGAAAGTCTTCCGGAAAAATTTCAGACGCGACGAAAAGTAAATTGCTGGAAACCACATTCAAACCAGCTTCAAAAGTTAGAAACGGTAGTAAAAATTTATTTTCAAAAAATACGCTAAAAACGCTTTCAATGCCAGCTTCTTCGATAAATAAAACAAGCAAAAACCGAAAACGTTTAAGTACCTCCTCCTCCTCCTCCTCCTCTGGTACTAGCCTTACTCCAGCACCGTCAGTCAAAAGACCACTGGCTCCTGAGATTGAAGTTAAACCGGAAAAAAGTGAAAAATTATTTAACTTGACGGAAGAACAAAAAAATAAATTCAGTTCTTTGGAACGTGATAAAAACGTTACTTCACGAGAGTTCAACCCATCGAATAGCTTCTGGCAGTTACTTTTTGCACTGAGACTAATTATGTTCGCCATCGAACTAATTGCAATAAAATCCATATTTTCAATCCCGCAGAGTATGGGTACTTTGCTTAGTCAGCTGCCATCTTACGACGATAAAAAGCAGAAAATGGTACTCGGATCGTGGTTTGTTGTTTCCGCTACAAGTAACCTGTTAGGAGCTGCCATAGCTTTCAACTCGAAACACGCTTCAGTCTGGACGAACAAATCTTACGTGGTAAAGACCTACATATTCTGGCTGACTGTCCAACTGGCCATTCACTTGGTTGGTTTGTCTACGTGCACCTGGGTTTCTCAGAGTCTCCATCTTACCATTGTGGTTGGTGGATGTAAAGTTTCTGTAATTTTGATTGTTTATTAGCTTCCTAAAGATCATTTTATCTTTACAAAATATTTGCAACCTAAAAACTCTATTACCATTAGAATAACTACAGGAAAATCATCTCATACTTCACATTTTTATAAACGACTCATAAAAAAATTCTCAAGCCTCCGGATATGAAAATTTTCCTCACTAACTACAAAACGAACGCGGACATCAAATCGGAAATAGATCGCATCCAGTTGGAAAACAACTGTTGCGGAATGACCGGTCCCATTGACTGGATCCAACTGCCAAGCAACCACAACGGCAAACTGCCAAGTAGCTGCTGCCAGGGCTTCGCCAAATGCCGCCATATTATTGGAAAGGTTACATATTTCAGCATTTTTAAATTATTGCATTAACTATTTGTTGCAAAACTATTTTAATCGAGTAACTTAAATTTTCGAAGTAGTTTGTCGCACTTTTCAAGAAATTAACATACTCCAGAAAATAAACATAGACCGAAAAGTTACTCAGAATGTTCAGGGTTGTTACAATGTCCTGATGGATGAAATCGAAGCCGAAAGTCAGACGAAGGCTCTAGTTTTTGGCATCTTGATAGTCCTTCAGCTTCCTCTATACTTCCTCACACTCGACTCTCTACCGAACATGAAAATTCTTAGCAGGTACTTCGAGCTGATTGACGATTTCAAGCAGGATGTTAGCGACGAATCGATGGAGGACCTACCGACCATGTCAGAAATGAAACGAGGCGTCAACCAGAAACTGAACTACGACTACTCCTACCATTCTAGCAGTCGCGATTCAGAACCTCTCGACCTAACGAACGATATGGCCAATAATTCGCTTTACTTCAGAAATCTCGCCGATATTCAGACTCTTTCCTCACAAGAAACAACACCAAACTCTGTCGAGCCTCACCTAAGAGAAATCGCAACAGCCCAAGAACTGATCTCTGGAAGAAGAGATCACTCAAACATTTTATGAATCCTAATTAATACATATTACACTTTTGGCTCTAATTTAACTAGTTTTAACAAAGTGCATGTGGATTTTCAGTAGTAGTATGAAATCTGATAAACGTACAGTATTTTTATAACATACATTTAAAGAGGACTGTCATTAAGCAATCCAATGTTTACTTATTTTTTGAAACAATTCTAACGATAATTTGCGAAGATTCTCGAAAAATATCTTAAAAATTTAAAAATAAAAATTTAAAAATATCTCTGAATTTACATATTTTAAATTTTATGAAAAAGTTTCTTATCAGAAAAAAATATTTATAAATATTTATATAATTAAATATTTATAAATGTATTTTCTTAAAAGAAAAAAATACAATTCTGAAACATTTTTTCATTTTTTTTTATAAAAAACTAAATGTATGAAAGTAAAAATAACCACTTAGCAACACCGAAGCAAACGATGAACAGAATATTCTTAAATATCGTCAATTTATGATCCAACAATTTGTTCTTTTACCCATAATTGTATTAATTAATTAATTAATTAATTAATTAATTAAATAATGGATCAGTTAATATTTTAGATAAACATTTATTCAAACAATTAACTTTTTATTAAATTTTCTGTTCATTTTCGGTTTTTTATTCTCAGCATTTTTCTCCTCTGACTTTTCAGGAAAATGTTTGTCGAACAGTTGCAGACTCTCCGTACTTCCGACAGACAAACTTTTATGAAATTCTTCTTCTTTCTTCATTCTTTCACTCTTGTCGTCCACTCGTTTTCTCTTCACTCCATCTTCCTTTTCTACTTTCTCTCTCTCCTCGCCAGCATCTCTGACGTCATCATCGCCGTTTAAGTCGTCATCGTCGGCGCTGAACAATTCCTTGTTGATGGCATCTTCTAATTGTTTGGTCCGCCTATCCATCTCTTCCGGTTCCAGGCGGTGGGCTAAGGTGATGATGATGATGATGGAGGTGATGGTGATTATGGTGATGATGATAATGGTGATGAAGATGAGGATAATGATTAGGATGATGATGATAATGAGGATAATGATTATGATGATGATGATGATGCTGATGATGGTTACGACGATCTTGATTATGATGATGGTTTAAATCATGATGATGATGCAAATGATGATAATGAATTGCTGATAAAAAACACACACACATGCACGCACACATGTACACACACAAACTTACACGTACACACGCACACACACACACACATACAGTAGTAAAATACAAATATTAATCAAACATAATGTATAACACAATGGTGAAATATGGTGAA